TCCTAGGTTTGACGATAAAATAGATCCTGCAGTAAGGCCTCTGATCGGGAGATTATATTTGCTTTGCTTTGTTTTATCTTACGGCATATCAGCTTTAATGGGTTATTTAATGCCGACAAGATTTTTAGGATAGGTTCGTATGAATAGAATATGTATTTTTTGTAAGAAATCTGTCTGTAGATCAGGTTTTATTGAAGTATTTTTGTTAAGTGGGTTTTTGTCCAGAGTTTCGTTTGGTTTCTTTTCATTTACGGCATATCAACCTCAATAGATTATTTAATGCCGACAACATTTTCGGATAGATTCGTATGAATAGAATATGTATTCTTTGGTTTAGATTGGTTTGGTTTATTTTATTTTACGGCATATCAACCTCAATGGGTCATTTAATACTGACAACATTTTTAGGATAGATTCGTATGAATAGAATATGTATTCTTTGGTTTAGATTGGTTTGGTTTATTTTATTTTACGGCATATCAACCTCAATGGCTTATTTAATGCCGACAATATTTTTAGGATAGATTTGTATGAACACAATATGTATTCTTTGGTTTAGAATGGTTTGGTTTGTTTTGTTTTACAGCATACCAACCTCAGTGGGTTATTTAATGCCGACAAATTTTTTAGGGTAGGTTCGTATGAATAGAATATGTATTTTGTAGTTCAGGTCTAATTGACGTACTTGTTGGTCATTTAAAACCGAATTTAATTTTCTTGGGAAAATTAGTAATTTCTTTTACAAAAATTTATTGCTGGCAATATTTTTTTTGAAAAATGTATTGCTGGTATTTTTACTATAAAAATCTATTTTTTGTACTTTCATAGTGTTTTGACTCCAGTTTGGGCGTTAACTATTTGTCTATACCTGGGAACCCATAAAAAGTGCTACCACCCCGGGTCAGGGTAGTCTTGATGACAGCAGCAATTAAAAGGGTATTCCAGGCTCCTCAAAACCTACTCATCAGAGCCCTTGCTGTCGGATGTCGTTTATTATCATACCTAGGACGGGGCGATTAGAGATCTTGAGAAGCGTGGAACTGTCTCTTAATTAATGTTGCTTCCAGATCCACTCTGGCCAGGGGTGCTAACACCTGTTCGGATCCCAGCTATGGGGATATAGTTAAAACACTCCTCAAGCAAAAACAAAACCTTATGAAAGTATAAAAATACATTTCTATAATATAAATAACAGCAATATGTGTTTTATATAATAATAAAAAAATACCAACAAATCCTAAACTACAAACAATAGATCAATCAACATAAATGAACTCTTTCATGATATTAATCCATATAATATCCTACAAATTTTTAAATCGAAGTGTATTCTAAAATATAACTTGAAGAAAACTACATTTTTTTTTTGTTTGTTTTTTAAGCATTTCACCCCAAGCAAGGCGGGAAGCCACTAGGACGCAAGGGGTTACAGAAAGTTTAGAGCAAGATCAGATAGGAGTGATAGAAGAAAGGATGAGGGTAGTGGATAGATCAAGGCAACTGGAGATGTCGATTGACATTACACTTGAATAGCTGGAGATTATAGCTCACAGGGAAACAGGAATAGGGAAGGGAGTTCCACAGGCGAGAGGTGCGAGACATGAAGCTATTAGAGTAGAAGAGACGGCTACATTTAGGAGTTTCGACAGTGAAGGGGTGAGAGCGGGATGCCAACCTCGTAAGGCGCTGGAACTTGTGACGACTGGGAACCAGCGAATGCAGCTCCTCGGAGCAATTTCCATGAAAGTATTTGTAGAACAGACATCAAACACACATATCACCGCCTTTAGTAATTATGTCTACATAAACATGTATATGCACAAAAGCTGAGCATCACCTACCATGTATCCAATTGTGAAAGCAGAATAACATATATCTTATTTTATTATTTTAAAGCTTGAAAGAAAATATAAATTTCTACATTAAATGAGCCATAAGTAGGTTTGCCTTTAAACAAACAAAAAACGTTATAAAGCAAAATTTTAGATGAGTGATGACCAGTCTAATGTCATTCTGGATTTCAAGGCGTGAATTGAATCAGTTAATTATTTGATCTTAGTCTAGAGCCTTAGGTTTACTCAGTAGCATCCCAATTTGTTTTAATGATAACGGTCAGCAAATATCAGCCGGTATCTATTGACCATGTAAAGGTATCCATGATGTTTTCTTTTTAGACTGCAGTTTTATTATTGTGTTTTTTGTATCATCCCCGTTTTGCATAATGGACAGCCGCCATTGTTCAAAAATTTTATTAATGTCTTTCTTGCAAGTTTTACAGACTATGATATCGTTTGTTTTACGGGAGGCTTCTCGTCTACAGTTGAAGCAGAGAAGATTACAATATATCGTGTGTAATTGTGAATTCAAGGACAGTAAGCAATTTACATTGGCCGGATGTACGAAAATAGAATACCCTGTTTTTATGTCTTCATTTTTCTAAAGCAGGAGTATTATTTGCCATCCGTCTAGGATGTCGTATCTTTTCAGAAGAATATGGTAT